GTAGAGGGGGCAATGGGAACACTGACGATAGAGGAGGCCATAGAGCACAAGATTCAATCACCAGTTGAATCCCAGCGCCTTTGTTGTTTACAATTTAGCTTTGATTCTTGATATGTTTCATTCGACAAGACGGGTAAAAGCACTGATAGGGACTGATTATGAAATTTGGTTCTTTTCTTGCTTACGACCGCTACCCAGCAAAGTTTGCGATTCAGTGAAGGATCACGGCTTCTCTCTGCTTTGCTATCATTCATGCCAAAACTTATCCGACCGCTAACAATATTGGATTCTCATTTAATGATGTATAGAGGAAAGGAGCTGCATTCATAAAGACATTTGATAATTTTATTATTATGACTCGACAATATTTGTGAGTACCATTCAAGGCATTGAGTGCCTACCACTTAAATCTTCAATGGGTTATTATTTTTAACATCAACAGCGACAGATCAAGACAGACAGATTCTAATCAAAGGCATAGGCATCGGCACATTTTGAAAATCGTTTGCATGCCCTATTGTTCCTCTATCGAGCTTAATGTTCCGAAAAGCATCATTCAGTGTTTTCAGCAAAGGAGTGTGCTGTTTGCCTTTATCACAACTCGATTATAAAAAGGAGGGGGCCCGGCATAGGCCGGGCGTCCGACTGTCTATATATAGAGCGGTAATTTTGTGTGTCTGTTTGTATGCCCGTTTGTGCGTTCTTCCTCACGTAGCACAACGAAGAGTGCGAATGTCAAGTGAGCGTGGTGGGGAAACAGTTATCAAATGGGAAGTGAACCGATACTGTTCATATTGGTCCTCTAACAAGTCGTAGGTAAGCGGTAGTGGGCATGTGGTGCGCGCATTAGCGTGCGTAGCCCAACTGGTAGTAAAAAAGATTGTGGGTAACGACGATAACAAGCGCATTTGGCAGTTGGGTCCATTCTGTATGGCACTCTCTGTCTATACAGCGATACACAACACAAGCTAAAGAAACACACATCCACCACACACCCATTCAAAACGCCACTACGATTCTGTCCGACGCGTGGGCGCATTGGCTCCTTTCATAGTCCGCGATTCGGTCCGAGGGCGAGCGAGCGGCCGGGGGCAGCGTTTGCCCCTTGCTTACAATTGGATATTGGTCGATACCACCGAACGAGTAGTCTCCCGCTCGCGGGCTCGCGGGCCAAATCGCGGACTATGAAAGCAGCCAAGCAGAAAAAAACCCACATCCACCACACTCCTATTGGAAGCGCCACGACGATTCTTTACGACGCGTGGGCGCATTCCGGGAAGCTTTTATCTTTTCTTGATATATGTAGCTATGTATATGCGCATATTCCTGAACTAATGGCGGAAAACCAAGGAGACGTTACTGGCGCCCGCTCGAGAAAATCAACGATCAACGGGATGACAAGCTGTAGAGGTTATTATTGAGTCCCTTTGCAATCCCATTAACTGATCCGATAATGCTGCTGAGATAAGAAAATCTTTGGAAACGAATGAAAAACTTGGATCAAATAAAGTTCTTTGTATGAATGCACCTAACTGCACTGGTACTAGTGCCAGTTACAGTATTGCTGAAGAGATGAAGTGAGAAACATACAGTGTATCCCATGCAAACAATGAGGTTGGGTAAGTTTCACTTCTTCTTCACTATACTTATCGTACAGTCGTCTGCGATGGCCTACAGTGAGAGGTACGATCCTCCTTCCATAGCTGAATTAATACGGGTCACTGATGACCAGGTACTTGGAGCAACCATTGAAAGCACAGTACACGATAATTCTGGGGTATCCGAATTAAGACGAATAATGGAGACAAAAGTCAAGGATAGTGCGATGGTGGCGGAGAAAACAGAGAACAGGCGTTTCTAGATGGGAAGGCCCAAAAAATAAAAAAAATCGTTTCTGAAATCGGAAAAAAATCGGAGTTGGACGAGAATAAGGCGTGGAAGGGGTATTCGGACGAGCTCTTCGATGTATATCATTATGTACGCTAGCTGTGCGATAAGCGCAACTTCTATAGCCTCGACAACTCGTCCAAAATCTCGCCCGCAAATGGGTGTGGACGTCGGCTAGGCCAGTTTTTGGCTCTATCGTTCCCTATACAGTGCGTATTTCTACGCGTTTCTGCACTATCCTAGCCTATCTATTCCTTTATTCAGATACCAGTCGGGTCCCCGCTTGCGCCGGGTTTCATTCCTTACTTTTACCAAAATGTTAGAAAGTGTAGTCAGGGGAGTGGGAGGCACTGATTTTATCCAACACTGAAGGCTATAGTGCAGAGGAGGGGAAGCCGACCTGATCTGTACTTAAAAACGGTTTTAGGCGGAAGAATATGGTTCCAAGCTAAGCTTTAGTAAGGGAGGAGAAGTGGGGATGGAATGATTACCTTGTGCAAAAAGCTAGGATGGGGTATAAGCTGAATATTCAATTGTCACACACCTGGAATTATGACGAAAAATTGCAGAGGTCCCCCAACTACATCATGACCTCCGATCTTTGTAAAGACATACATACCACGATG